CGAACGTAAACAACCATTGAGTTCAACACAGGCTCATGAGATTAATCTCCCACCTTAGGGGGCAAGACTACTCAACTATTTCATCTGTACTGAACCCATTGTGCTTGAATATTGGACACTTTAGGGGTGATCTGATAGAAGTATTTAGGAGTATAAAAGACAACTGGGTGCTTCACGATTCACTGTCAGTGACAACGTGGCTTTACGTGGGCACTTGAAAGTGGCAAAAGAGAGTTCCAGTCTGGAGGTTCCAGCACAGTTCTTAACAAACTGTGTGGTGAAGAGCTAGAAAAAACTCTCAGAACCAGTGATCGCAGCAATAAATGTGATAAGCTTCAAGTACAAACTAGATGACTGCTGGCTGACTGTATTCCTTGAGTTGAAGTGATCGGTGCAAGGTAAAACACAGGCTAACCTGTGAGCCCCATGTTAAAGGTTTTCTTATATTTTGCTAGTTTTCATTTTCTTTTTTCCTATCAAAATTTTCCTTTATAGCAAATAACTTTTATTTCTGTCATTTATGAAGTGCAACTATTGTGTTCTCACAGTCTTCATTTACATCTTATGCTTTCCCGCCGATGGAGCGTGCCTGGCTTGAATTTCTCGAATAGAAACCGGTGCAAGTGATGATCCTTTGTTGATTTAAGCCTACGGATATTACCGATAGAGCACTCCAACATCTTTTTCGCATCTCAGTCTGACCGTTGTCCAGGAAATCGAAGATAAGCGCTAAGAACTTCTCCTGCAGTCGAAGCACAGTGAGAGAGCATCAGAGCTCACAAGTGGAAGAAACTGGACGCATTTGCGACGGCCACAAGCCCTGTATACCCGATCTGACCTGACCTAACTTACTTGTTTGGTCGCGGTTTTTCGTCTTGTTTCATAGGCTCCAATAACCGGCTTAAGTCCCCTATTGAAGCACGTAGCGTCGAGTGAGAAACAGACCAAATAACCGAAAAATGGTAGTGAAATCTTTCAATAATATAATTATGGTCTGAAAATGAGCATAAATATATCATCGTTTTAACCGCCCATTTTGGTAGTATTTTGTTTTAAACTGTTAGCTCCGCGGTTTTTGCTGTGCCTCCATTAATGCCACCTGTAGAGTCGCCTAGGCGGGTTAGCGACGAAAAGGATGGTGATGCCCCAGATGACAACAAGAGTGCCGAGCAAAATAGTGATGATGTAGTCTCTCCAACAACTTGTGCACAGAAACCGTCGAATGGTAGTGGCGATGTTCCATGTGATGACACTGACGATGACAGTCGGTAAGAGAAAAACTGGAAAGTTTAACTTTTGTTCCTCACAGAAAACTTTTTGTTGGAGGTTTAAGCTGGGAAACTACAGAGAGTAAATTTTTTGTCATTTATTTTATCTGTCCTAAAGGTGATTTAAAGGAGTATTTTTCCCGCTGGGGCCGTGTTACCCAATGTATAATTAAATTAGACCGGTACACAGGCGCGTCTAGGGGCTTTGGCTTTGTTACTCTGGAGAGTGAGGAATGTGTAAACAAGGTATATCTGTTCTCCAATTTTTACCGGTGTTAGGTCCTGAGTGTCCCAGAGCACTGGCTGAAAAACAAGAAAATCGATCCCAAGAAGGCTAAACCATCGCGGGAACCGTTTAGAAAGGTCTTTGTTGGTGGTATTGATCCTGACGTTACAGAAGACCAGATCAGAGAGTATTTTGGTGCCTTTGGGAAGGTGGGTTTGTTTTTTTCTTTAGTTATTCTCAGGTTGAGTCACTTGACTTGCCTTTTGATACTCTGAAGGGGAAAAGAAAGCACTATATATTTGTGAGTTTCGCAACAGAAGCGGCTGCTCGAAAAGCCATATCTAAAGAGCGCCAAGAAATATTTGGCCGTCAGGTGGGTTAATTTTTTTCAAGTGTGATTAATCTAACAGTGCGACGTTCGCGTTGCGGTCACAAGAGAACAGGCCAACCGACAAAAAGGTAGCGGTCACTTTCACTTTTGATGAAGTTCTTTGCAGTGATGAAACACTGGAATAACTTCTGTGAAACGTACGCCTATCCCTTCTCTTCGTACGGTGAATGCCCTGGTGCTTATCCTGGATTCGATCCATATGGTTATGGATATTACGGGTATGACTACTACGGAAATGCCGCTGCAGCGGCCGCTGCTGCCGGATACGGTGAGTCTAGAAGCGTGCAATGTCCGGTTTTTTTGTTCGTTCGGAATATTTACTTCGCTACAACCCGCATATTGTATGCTCTAGTTGTGATAAACAGCGAGAATTGAACTCCTCTGAGAAGCCTGTTTGCCCATTTTCACCAGAGATAGAAATGTGGAGTACCGATCTACTTGAGGTCTCAGTGTCAAACCGGTTGTCCGCTAAGCTGCCGCAAGTGTTTGGTGCATTGCTGGGCGGGGTTTATTTTTCGGTCACTTTTCAGGAAATGTGCATTTCGGACAGTTGTGATGTCAACATTTTCTGTAATTGTTTTACATAGATTGTTTTGTTGTTTTTCATGCACCTATTAGGACAGGCAAAGCTACGGGACAACATGCCGGCTGATCTCTTGATTACTGAACTTGAGATTTGTTGGCAGCCTCATATAGTTCCTCAGTTGTGTCACCAGGTAGATTGCCACGGTGAGCGATGTTCGCCGAGGCAGGCAGCGGATAAAAAAATTCATTGGCGGTCAAAGTAAGACCTAGCATGAGTGTACGAAAATCCTAACCAGGAGACTGGGTAACATAGGTCCCTTTAGGCTTCGAGGATGGGAACTCCGAGATCATGATCACCGGTGGTTAGAGATAGCAATATGGTTGGGTGTCGCAAACAGTGGTGCTTGTGCATTACTCATTGTTCTTACAACCTCAATCTATATGAATTCTCTATGTTCCGCTTGAATTTGTTCTCAACATTACAATGTTCATTCTTCTCTTTCATCAAATGGATGGCTTAAAAAACGGTAACTAAAATCGGCGCACGGGAGTGCATGGTTAATGGTTGTAAAAAATTGAAACGAAAACTGCATTTTATTTAGTATTTTTGTCGGATTATCAGCAATTGAGGGAAAACCCCAATAGGCACTAGCAACCAGCGATCTGATCTTCAAGACTTGGAGTAGCGAGGTTTTTCCACATGGATGCATAAGACTTCGAGCTGCGATCCTAATAGCACAGATTAAGAATGAAGTCGGATGACGGCGATTCCTTCGCTTCAACCTAATCACCAATTAGTAGGTGGTTTTGGACAAGGAGTACTTTCCTGTTTTGGTTTCAGTTTGTACAACTATTGGTCATGCAATATTCGGCGGCGGCTTTGGTTGCTGTCTTTTGACTGCCCATTTGGATGAAGGAGTAGGAAAAAGACAAAATTTGAAAGTAGTAGTATGGAGAATGGGGAATTTCAGTAGATTAATGTCACGAAAAAATTGAGGTGTACAAACGCCACTGTTTACGACACTCAAGCATATCACTCAGTATCTCTGAAAATTGATTACAATGATCCCTGATTGTTGTTTAGGATCGCAACTGATACATTTGAAGGATTACTGGGTTGTTATTTATCTGAATGGGTATTATAATGACTTCATCATTACCTGACACGAGGAGTAGTGAACAGAGGAGTCGTAGCAAGGTTCCAGGTTTTCCAGTTCCGTTTAATCCAATGGCCGGTAGAACTTGATGCAATTTAAGACCGACTGGTTAATTTCAAGACAATGGTATCATCCCCGACTTCAGGCCCGCTGTCCACGTATTTGAGCTAAGCTTCGCTTATCGGGTTCACTTCGTAAGATTCAACCAGTTGCTGGTGGTGGCGCAGTGGTGTAGACCCTGTCACCGGCGTGCTTTGGGTCCCATGGTCCGCGGTTCGGGCTCCCCAATCGCCACCCAATTTTGGTGGGAGACGGCTTTGCTGTCGTCCGGTTCAATATCACACCTAACCTTGAGTGGTTCGCCAAGTCCCGTTGCTTGAATTACCGGTTTCCATCATTGAACAACACGTCCCCGCGACTGAGGCTTTCCCGTCTGCTGTTTATCACACTAATGTATGTAATAAAAAAGTTGCGTGGTTGTGCAGCATCAACAGCAATAGATAGTTTTGACGGACTCCTGGTCTGAGTTCTCAGGGCCAAACAAGTCAGAAAGTAACCTTCGGTTACGGTTTATCAGTGGCCTAACTGTAGA